ATTGTCTTCCCTAGGAATTTAATGGATTTTAAGGTGAAGACCTCAAAATTGAGGCTCCTTTCTGACATTCGTACTCATCACAACGATGATCCGGAAGTTGCGTGCAACCTGAGAAGATTAGAAGCGATGCTGTTAGGAAATACAGGTAGAAACTGGACGGGAACGAAAAAGGTAAGAGTGTACGGTGAATCCGGCGAATTAGCTGATAAATGGCGCAACGAACCCGGCGACAGTCAGGTTGACATGGTGCAAATGGCTGAGGCTAACGTGAGACGTCGATCATCTTGTATAATAATACCGGGCTTTGTAGGCTGAAGATGATCAGGCTTGATTTATTGAAAGCAGTATCCAGTAATGCATCTATTTGCTACAGATCTATGGTGCTTGGAGAAGAGAGGAGGAGAAAGGACATTTTGATTAAATACTATGATGCCTATGAATATCATAAAATACGAGTGATTTTAAGAAACGATTTTGCTCGGTTGGGAAATTTACAATTACGTTTCAACTTGCTACGGGTGTCCTTCGTGCGCTGCTGACTTCATCTTCATGCAATTGGCGTTGTTCGATATGTCGATGAGTTTTGTCCCAGCATTTGTAAGCTGTCGCCCTTTCAGCGATCCTTGGCTTTACGTCAATGGCAGCTTTGGCTACCTGCGTTACCCAGAGGCCTGACAACAACATTTCGCTGGGAAGACAGGAAAAAGCTTGGCTACTCAGCTGCGTCGAGGAGGAACACAAGGTTTGCAGTTGCTGGCTATGTTTGATAATTTTTGATTGTGAAACGAGTGAATACGGGTGCAATTTTCCCCGTTACCACCTATCGACATGGTCATCGTGTTGGTGCCTACTAGGACGTATTTTAGGTCGAACTTTCCGATGAACATCGAGCCATCAAATCGTTGATTGTCCGGCCTTACGCGTTCGTTGTCGCTGTTCATGCAGCCCTGTACTTCGGGTTGTTGCGAGGCATTGAGGTGCATGGCATAATGAATGGCAGTTTCTGCGACGGCGCCTCGGACGTGCTGATCGTAAGGCCATTGAAAATGATTGCTTATGTGTTATGAGTGCAATTTGCTGCGTCGTAGATGTGGTCCCAGCTGTTCGTCGTTCACTTTCTAATGGCTCTCCTGATGCACTTCGTCTTTAAGAAAATCTTCATGCGTCCGCTGGCGTTCCTGGATGACGTGCTATTACAGTATCATGTTTTACCTGTTCTAGGTATTGACCATGCATCGTT